TGAAAATATACTATCCTGCCTGTGCGCTCGGGAGGGGCAGGTGCGCCGCGATTGGCGGAGGGGTCTCCCTGGTTGGCTGGCGGTCTGCGCCAACCTGGGCCCCGCGCCAGATGTCCCGTTGTCGGACGGCGTTGAACATTGCATTGGCGGCTACATTGCAATAGCGTAGCATTACCAGGTCCTCTAGTATTAAATAATTAATACAGCAGTGTATGAGATTAATTCACGAAAGAACAACCTCAGTGGCTCCAATATGGTAGTTTCTTAGTTCCCACGCATCTTATACATTATTAAATAAAGAGGGAAAATTAATGAACACGAAAGCATTTCCAATATTTACCTAACAGTTATTACTATGAAAGTCTAGTGATGTATGTACTATGCAGGTGTCCAGGGAAATTGGTAGGGCTATAACACTCCTGGAAATTTTGAAAGGGGCCCCATTACCTTAGAGAATACATATTTATTCCCTTCAATATATTTGGGGCATTGGTGTGACATACATGGAAGAGGATCTGCATTGGGAAGCTCTCTGGTAACCCTACGAAAATGGAAAATTTAAACAATCAAATTTAATGGACAAGAAACAGAAAAATGTTACCACCACCCACATTCGTGTTCGAGGATGCACACGCCTGTGTACGAAATAAAAATAGATTACATTCATTTTTTAACAGAAAGGCGAGTAATGTTTACATTATCTTTATCCAAACAACCGTCTTGCAAGTACTTCAATTAAAAATTGTTCTGCAAATGCATGCAGAAAATATGCAAGCTTTTTTCATCATTCTTGATAATAATTTATTCCTATGTATTTCTCATCTTAATAAACTACTTAAAATATCTTCTCATTTTGTAAGATGCATTGACAGATCCAAGTTATTTATTTTGAATTGTATTATGGATTTTTTTCTACGAGTAATTGGAAGGAAGAAAATTCTGAATTGTTTACTAGGTTTTAGTATTTGTGACTATAGCTGTGATATTTTATTGAATTTTTGCAAAAATCTGAACATAAATACTAGGTTATTAAAAATAAGGTTTTTATACAAATACCATTACTTATTACCACCTCTCTCTCTCTCTCTGTCTCTCCCTCTCTCTCTGTCTATATATATATATATATATATATATATATATATATATATATATATACACACATTTACATACACACACATATTTATGTATACGGGAAAGTAACATTCTTAAGAAATTTCTGAATTAAAAAGATTATTAAAGATGAATTAAGAATGCTCTGTACACCAGAAAGTAATGGAAAAGTTACAAGATGTAAAAAGAGGGAAAATGGATAGAAAATTACTCGTCTGTGCAACATTATCTACATAACATTGAAGTGAAATCCTAAAAAACAGCTATTCGTGTTCAATTTATGCATTTCAAAAAATAATAAAGTCATCAGAGTATAATCAGCAATATCTACACTTAAAGCAAAATGGCAGGGAGTTAATGATATTGTGTTGACTAATAAGATTTAAAAATAAATATAAAAATCAATAATAATTTGATAACCTATGCTGATAGTAAAAATTAAATATCAGTTATCTATGTATCCAAAATCATAAATGATTTCTTAACATTAGTGTATTTACAATCTCTCAGGCTTATTCCAAAGTAATAAAAGCCAATTAATAGAATCGTTTATTTCAGAAACCAGTCAAACGCCAAAATCTAAAACACACTTTAGCAATGGATTACTGTTCCAGGAGGATAAACACATAGTTTAGGGCATATTTATATGAAAAATATTCATTTATCAACTCCTTTAACAAAAAAAAAATTTTGAAATTTGAAAAATTGGAAGATTTTTTTCTGAGTTTTCTCGAAATGAGGAATTTGATGGGTTTCTGAAATAAACAATTCAATTGTTCTCACGAATTTGTTTCACTCTCTGGGTTAACCTCTGGAAGGACTAAATTTTAATGTGTTTTTCCCTGTAGAGATGTATTTTGTTCAGCGTAACATCGGCCATTCTTTTTTTCAAATTACTACTTTCTCTTATACACAGAAGAAAGCCCCATCCACACACAAATCTATATTCTTTTTAACTACAATGAAATTTTGTCAATGGGCTAACTAACATACCAGGAGAACGTTTACACCTGCTTTTAAAATGAATAGTTGTAAAATGGTGATCGAAGTCAATGCCACAAGATGTGGCAGGTAGAGGTAAGGCCAGACATGACGAGAGAAACTAAGGACTGTGAACAGAAGCAGTGTGAGATTGTGTAGTACAGGGCAGGGAAGGCAAGGGTGGGGATACACTATAGAATTCATTCCTCTTCCTGTCAAACAAACGATATTGTTATAAACAAAAACCCAGAAAACACATAGGACATGTGCTAGTTAAAAATGTATAATGTACGTAAAAAATGTAAAATGTACTTTCAGAAACTATCCAAGATAAGAACAATAATATACACCACGTTAGTTCATAATGTATCAAGGCAAGTAAAGTTTGTGAATATTTCACCCAAACAACTACTCTTCCTATGACTCTGATTAAAATTATTTTTGTGATCACATAGAGGAAGCAAGTAATTTTTATTTTCACTATTTTTGGTAATATATCTTACTAATACACATTTCTCATGCAAATGAACGTTTAAAACATCACACATTTGAAGATACATTGATTGCTCTGACCTATTTATTAAGATTTGTGTACAGATATTTGTGAGTCCTCAGGAGAAAAAAACTTCTAAATTGCCTGATGCAATCAATCGGTAACCTTTTTGGAAAAATGTAAGAATAAATTCTATATTATAAAAAATAAAGTTTTCCAAAAATATTATTTGTTTTTCATTTTTTTTTTCTGTTGACTTCCTGATGATTTACACACTGTCTGAACACTTGTTGATCCTACATGCTTGGGTTTAATATCGAGCTAGTTAGATATAGATAATTATCAATAGCAGTAATTATTAATTAAGACAATGATGTCATACTTATTTTTCTCTAATATTTTATACTCTTTTCCACACTATTTTATAAAAACAAAAAACACACGGGATAGAAATGACAGCACATAACATTTAATGTTCCTCAAACACAGGCATCCTATTCCACAAACAGAAATACAACATACCTATATCAGACGCTTAATTTGGACTCCAACTTTTTCGGTTGCCGGTGAACAAAGCATGCAAAACACAACGATTCGTGAAATGGTGACCGCCAGCCGAGGATATGCCGAAAAAAAAACAGTTGCCGTAGACCACGCCCCACGTTCCAGAGTTGGCACACAATACAACGATTGATTTAACCACGCACTTGACGTAAATCAGCTGTTCATGGTTTCATCGAATCGGAAGCTTCAAAGTCACTATACCGACATATAAGTTTTCGATTAGATGAAATTGCAACACCTGATTTATGTTAAGTGACAAAATGACTAAATAAATAAATAAATAGTTCCAGCCAAGATGCGATATGTCAATCAATATATGTGCCGATGCGCATCTTTCCCGGCCACATGTCATGCCGCGTGACGTCACGTGGGGAGCAAGCGAAGTTTGCATAGCAAACCTACAGTGAAGTAAATGGAGCGCAAAGCACATATTCCAATTTTATATGAAACTTAACATACGACATTGCCATGTTATTGAGCGTGTGTTATTAAGTGTATTTTTTTTTTTAGAATTAAATATACAATTCATACCCATAAGCGATTGCTTTCCATTTCAAAGAGTAGCAGAAGATGTAAGAAAGGCGAAAGGTACAATATGTATCAAATTTGAATTTTGCAGGAAAAATGCATTCTCTAAAATAAAGGATTGAACAAATAGATCAGACACTTTACAATCTCTAAGCAATAAATGACCAATTAAATTCCCTTACCTCAATTTTTACAGACATAAAATGCCTCATATTGTATATTGTGCTTTATTAATGATTGCTTTCGATAAATTTTGATATTTTGATTTTTCCCTTTGTCTTCTTGAATTCATTCTCCATGACTATGCTTGCTTGAAATAACTCCTCTGAAGGATATTTTAATATTCCTTTGGATAAGAAATGTATCCATTCGGGTGTTTCACTGTCAGAAATTTCTTTAGCTGCTAAACAAGATGAAATTTGTGTTCAAACCAAAATGCTACGTAACTAGCCAAAAATTTTAATCCTTCAAATGTAATTGAATCTTCAAATACATTTGTTTCACATAATTCCATTATTTCAAAGTAATTCACATTAATATCATTGTCGGTCTCAACTTCTAAGAAACATCATACTTCACTGCCTTCTGAAATTTCACTCAAATTTTGTTGGTGATCAAGATTTTTTTTCCCCTCCACAGTAAACACCTACCTGAGATTCCTCTATTCTTAAAATAGCATCATCACAATCTGTTCTTTTCTCTTCCTCCTCAGCTTCAACTTCTTCCTCTTCCAAAGGTAAAAATGTGAAAGGTTTTCTGTAAATACATTCGATAAATGTTTCCCAACAAACCGTATCAACTGATATTTAATATCAAGGAAAATACATTCGTTGTTTGAGCCACCAATATAAGCAAAATTTTTTTCCAAAATGTCTTTATTCATTCTGTGTGTTAAAACATATTCAATTCCATATTTCATATTCAGGTTAAAAAACATTTCAACCATAGATATATTATTCATCAAAATCCCCCTTTGGGAAGGTATTAATAAATGGTGAATTCCAACATTCATTTTTGATACTGTCACTGGCTTCCTGCAGAGTTGTTAGTTGGTTTTCCAAATTTACGCCAAAAACATTGAGTCCTGGATGAGTTCCAAATTTACTTATGGCATTAAAAATATCAAACTAATCATTCATAAATTTCAAAAACCTTGACGTTTCTTCCCAATCACAACTTTTTAAGTCCCTTGTTTTCTAAATCATTTAATTGCCTTAGAAACTCTTTCTGAAAAAAATTGTGCTGCGGGGCATACTTTTTGTCATATAGGTGATAAGGGGTAATGGTGTGAGCAATCTGAAGGTCTAGTGTAGATGCTGCCAAAAGTTGATTGATACTACTGTGATTTATTTGTTTCTCATCATAAAAAAAATCCATTATCAACAAAAGATTTCTAAAGAGTTTCAAGAGTTGAGATGCATCAGCAAAAATGTACACTTTCAGAATTTCATTCACAGGATGTGGAAAAAAGCACTTATTTACATCACTGTATAAACCAATGCATTTCCAAAATTTTATATTATTGGGTCCAATGTCACAAGTCAATGCAACAACAATGTAACCTGAATGAAAAAGTTTTTCAATCATTTCAAACACAATTTCTTTGGTCATATGTGTATCTTATCCATACCAAATATGTTGTTTCCATTGTCCAACCAGTCCCCATGCCATTACAGTTTGGCACTTGGAACAACTATCTTCTCTTCTTTCCTCTCTATACATACCTTACTTGAAGTACAAATTTCATCAAATGAGAGAGATACTAATAAATAAAGCGGTGCAAGAATTATTGCTTTTTGTTTCATATTTTTTAAAACATCCACATCAAAGGATAAAGCCCACTTTTCAAGGGAAGATAAGGCAGGAAATGGAAAGGCAACGTCCTTTGGGGACCAATGAATAATCTTTTGTCACTTATTAAATATCATCTTAATTTGTACTAGAGTAAAAACGTTGGATAAAGTGGTACAGAATCTATCCGATAGGTCTCTTTTCTTAATAGTTTTTAAAGATTCATTTTATGTTTTCAATAGCTCAATTTCTAATTTCAGTTTTTTTATTTTCTATTTCTAAAGCAGAAACTTTATTTTTTAAATCTGTATGTCTTCTTGTGTATTATCTGCTCTTTTTCTGAAAAACGTTTTGCACTTTCAAATTCTGTCCAAGTTTGCTTATTTTAACAAGCACATTCCTATAATTTTCAAAAGTACCAGAAGCAGAAATAAGTACTCACATTTAAGGAATTTCACTATTGCACTCATCTGAATTGCCTTCTAACATTTCTTTAGCAATTGCATGCATTCTCCTTTTCTGCACCCTCTCATTTCTTTGCACATATTTGTCAGATCATTTATTTCTCTAGGCAACTTTTCTGTGGGTATTGCATCCACTTTAAGATTTCTAGATCTTTCAGGATTATAACCCAATAATTTTTGTTTCAGTGGGACCACGAAATCATCTTGTTTAAAACGAAATTAACAAATTCACGCTAGATAATGAAATCAATAATATTAATATGTGAAATGATTAATCAATTAGTACAGAAAACTTTTTTTTTCATTATGATCCAACTTTCCATTGCCTAGCATCTCTCAGAGAGAATGTCAAGGTGTCATTAGCTTAAGAAATATGAGCTTATCATTACATATAAGTAATATACATATAATATAATAATTGTATAGGGAACGTTATGTAATGCTGCAGAAAATCGATTTCGAGTTTGAGCGGAAATACACGTTTTGGGGTCTCCTAATACCGATTTTTTTTTTCTTTTTCTTTTTTTACTTTTTATTTTTTTTATTATTTTTTTTTATCGCCCGTCTGACTGCCTGTCCGTGCGTTTGGTGAATGTGAACAACGCTCTCGCCTGCGAAGGATTTTTTTCCAAATTGAAGAAACCCCTGTCCATTTGGCCTGAACCGAAGCTCTGCTATTTTGAAAATCATTCATTAGTTTTTGCTGGTTCTTTACTTGAAGTCCCTGCAACATTTTCAAAATTTTCTCAAAAATGGCTCCAAATTGTTTCTTTAAATTTCTTATAAGAATAGAGTAAAATGCACTTAATGAGGCATATGTCCTATTATCACGGTTAACTCAGAATTTTTGAAAATTTCAAAAGTTGAAATTTATTTCGGGGTCTTCCTACAACTACAAAATTAAATTTTCTTTCAAATAAAATTTGTTGTATATAATTTGTTATTTCATTAAGGTCGTAGACCATAGGTCGAGGTCACTATCTTGGCAACAGTGTTTTTAATTGATATAACAAATAGCCCATTTCACGTGCTTTTAACAATCTGTCTTTATTATAGACTTGTAAAATTAGTTATTTTTGATACGAGTGGTAAATGTTGCATTTTATTTGGAATGGAGGAAATATTGCAACACGTGGCTGATAAGCCGAGTGGCACAGTCCTTGGGAAAAAATAAAATCACGTTTACCACGTATGTCATACGCTATTTTTAGACAGGCTTTTTGACTCTACTTATATTTTAATTCAAACATAGAAATCAAATCTATGTTGTATTACGATCAACAGTAGCTCATGCTATCAGACAAAAGTATTTTGTTTTCATTGTTATATTCAGTTTTTGCAGAATATAATGAATATTGACTCACTTTAGATCTGTGCCAACAACTGAACTTTCAGCACGCTTTGCTTACCCTACAAGTAAGTTAACTTCTTTTTGTAGGAGAGTGTATAAAAAATAGTTTACACGTGTAACAAACACGGTATTGCATGTGGTAAAAAAACTCTTTAATGACACTTCCCCAAATTAATAAAGATCATTTACCTTTATTTATTTTGTATTTAAATATTTTGAATTATTCGCTTAATTGTCGAGTCATATAATTAATAAAAAACAAAATCTATTGAGAAACATGGTGACCTACTTAAAGTTGAACTAATGTGACCAGCGAACTAAACACGGGGGCATCTGGGGTCTCTGAAAAAAGACGAACGACGAACGATGACCCGCAAACTAAGAGAGCGACGAGATAACTCTCTAACTATACTGCGATTTTTCTAATTCTACCTCTCAAATCCTTACTTCACGGTGGCATTATGTCACTGTTTTTCGCATGTTTCGCAAAGAATTTATGCATTGTCTTCAATTGTGCGTTAACACATTACAAGAAGCTATCACTAGCTCCTTACCAGAAGAATTCCGTAATTTTTAAAACCCTATGACCCCAATGTAATAACAATTGGAAGCCTTTCTTCTTTTGGGTCCCTGATATTTAATGCAGGCAAGAGTTGAGCATGATTTTATGTCATCAAAAGCCACCCCTATTTATCACTTAAAATACCGGAGGAAAACAAAAAAATCAACAGCATAACACAGGGAAAACACAAGCATTTATTACCAGTTTTACAAATATATTTATAATCATTTCATTATTTACTAAATTAAATCTTATTTAATCCTCCCAATTGCATCCAGTTGTCGAGTTTTATTGGCACTGGCCCGTACATGATCCTTTACCCCCTGCAGCAGATTTTGAAGCTCGCTTTCCATGTTACGACAATGTTAGGCGCTCTTTGTCCATCTTACCCCCGATTTAGTTGTCATCCCTCACAGCCTAAGTTTTTGTAGGCAGATTTCGGATGAATATTCCTGTCGCAACTCCGGTAAAGTGTTTTTAATTTCATACCCTTCTACCATATATCGAAGTTTTTCCTAACCATCTATCACATTCTGCAAATTAACATCGTTGGCTTTACCACACACGCGATTGAAGAGAATGTTGTGACGAGATTTGAAACTTTCTAACCATCCGTTAGAAGCTTTAAAATTGTCACTACCTAATATTTTAGCCACTTATAAAGCTTGTTTGGATAATAGGTCCGGATATGGGCATTTGTGTGGCACGTGCAGAAATAAACCACTCATGCACCGCATTATTTATTATCCCTTATCGTTTTCCTTCTCCTAACGATCCTTTTTACCATTCGTCTTGAATTTTGCCCTTATTTTATACAGTGTCATTAAAATGAGTTTTACTCACTTGGAATTTTGCAACTAGGTCTTACTTTTATCGCACAACTTACTTTTTTCTTGTGTTCTTCAATCACTTTCTTCTCCTGTAGCGGAAGGGTTTAGCACGTACGCGTTGAAAACAAGCTGACGCACAGCTTTCCCACACTATACTGCTAGCATTCACTAAATTGTCACGTCTACAGTTCGTTAAATCTACGATTGTTACGCTGGGATGATAAGACAGCCTTCTCGGAATTCCATTGTCGACTGAAGGAAACGTGATGACGCTTTTGAGAATTAAACGGGGTGCGGACGATCAACAATAAGGATTAGCGTAAACAAAGCGGTGAGAATAAACATATCCAAAGCAACGAAGTCGCTATTGTTGCGACATGGAAAATCATACCACAGCGAGAGAAAGTCGCTACGACACAGTCGCAATTCTAAAGATATTGCGGGAATTTTAAACATAAATTTCCGTCTTGGCCAGGTAATAATCACTTTACGTTATCTAAAAAACCCGTTTCCGCGGTAGGCCGGTTTCCGGCTTATAGAGGTCATTTTCACGTATAAAGACATTCCGTTCTGAATTATTCTGGAAATGGCAGGTTTTTAACTTACATAGGTTCCGTCTGGGGTTTTATTGTATTTTCTAAACATATTTCTTCACAACTCTAAAATGACTATTTTCGAGATTTCATTTTTCTTGTGGACGTGATATAATGGTACGATAAGTGGTTTAATTTGGCTAAATTTCTTTCGCAGCAGTGTAGTATCATGAGTTTTATAAGACGAGAGTTTGGCCCGAGATTTGTCAGAAAACCTGTGGACTATCTTCTGATCAGAATAGTTTTTTTCCTAACGTTTGTTTTTTATGTGTGACATAAGTTTTACATTGGGCAATATGTCTTCATTCCAAATTCCGGGATTTCTTTTAGTGTATTCATACATTGAAATATAAATATTTTAATCACGAAATCTTAGAATAATAATTAATTTCAGAGCTATGACTGACACCTCAAGTTTCATATTATTAATTTCTGCATAATTACCTTGATTAAATAATAATCATACGAGTATTTTGAGTCAGTAATATTGTATACAAATATTTTGCATAGCTTAACATGGTAGTGGAGAGTATTCTTTGACTAGATAGTTTTTGTGGATAGTTTGTGCTGATGGAAGTTTCTATTGTGATTTCGTTTAAATTATATCTTAATTGCAGTTGAGATAATTCGTCGAAATTTTACATGTGTTGGTAACTAGCCTATTGTTTTCATGACACAATATTAAACAGATAATGTCACCACTTGTATTTTTACAATTCCTAAATTCGTGGTTTGATTTGAATTGATTAAAATTGAATTACGCTGTTTATATTGTGTATGGACTATGTATATTTACATAATTTAGAAAGAAACATTGTGATTTTGAAATAAGTAATTTGGAACTCTCTTGACTACTTCTTCAACTGACCCACAAGTCCAAATCCTAATTATTGGTTTCTAAATTGCCTAGCATATTAATTTTACATCAAATAAATAATTTTCTTATACTAATTATAATTTTCCGCCATTTCGAAAAACTGCTTCATGAAGTAATTTTAAATGACCCGGTCGTCGTTTACGCGACATCTCAGTAGATAGATCGCCTTTCGAAGCTATTGGCTGCAGAGGACTTTTCATTGAATAATTTCTAAATCTTTGATTAAACTAAACATCGCCCAGAGCGGTACTGTAAATAGACTTCAATTTAAATTTAAGTACTATATTTAAGATAGGCACTCTTTCTGCTGCACAGGCCAACTCGGTTACAGCGCAATGTACCCCTATATCGAATAAATTCCCGCCTCGTTAGGGTAACTGGACAGGGGGAAATTGAACACCCAAAAAACCACTATTGGCCGCTTAGGAGAAGGTCCAAGATGGCCGGCTGCCCTCCTCCACGAAAATAAGAGCCTTCCGTTTAACACTGAGTGCCGTGTTTGCGACAGTACTCTCTGCTACCCAAGCAGGAGGTCCTGCGTGGCAGCAGACGTCGCAACGTCAAACGGCGTCTTGTTCGCCCAACATCCGCCCCAGCCGAGTCCCTCCTGGCGCCGGCGCGAGCAGCAGCGCGCACCGCCCTCGTTGCCTGCCCAGCGCCCGCGTAGTGCAAAAGGCGTCTCTCCGTTCCTATCCGGGCGTTGACGTCGGCGCCGCCATCATCAGCTATACACCCACGACCCGCCTGTAATCCGTGGATGGCAACCCAAGTGCAAAGCGGACTCCCCGCCGGCGTTGACCGCGCTCGCATCGGCCCCGCTTCCAGAAGCAGCAACATCACGATCGCGTTCTCCCTGATGGCCGCATTAATTAGAGGCGTCCACGCCATGCCCGATCACTGTAGTTACGTCCGCGCCGCAGTCTATGAGCCCGTACGCCACTTAATCTCCACTACACGCCGCGCACACAACTGCTGCTGCAGGGTGAGAGAGGTTCGCCCTCCTCCATTTCCTCAATTCCCACCTCCCGCACCCGGAGCTCCGCCCGCCGCCTCGCGCGTTCCTCCTCCTCGTCGGCCGCTGCGCCCTGGTGGCCGGCGCCTGAGGTAACGGGGTGGAGAGGGGTCCCTACCTCCCTTTACGCTGTTTTCCAGGCGGTGGCAGGAACGTCGTGCGATTGGGCTTCTCCAGATGGCGCAACAGAGCATCAACGCGGGCATGAACTTCTGCACCGCTCTTTGCAGAGAGGCCTCCACCTTCTCCACGCGGCCCCCCAGACGCGCAGCACACCCGCCCTCCCCTCCGAACCCTCAGGACCGTCGTTCTCTCCTCCACGGCCGTCAATCTCTCTTCGAGTCGCTGCCTGCAAAAGACGCGGATGGCGGCGTCCTTCTCTTGTAGCTTCCGCTCCATCTCTCGCAGCGCCGCCGACGCCCTCTCCTCCTGCAGGGGCGCAGGGCCTCCTGGACCTTGCGCTCGGCCTCCTGCCTCTGCAGGCGCAAGGCCTCCTGTAGCTGCGCCAGCCCCTGCGCCCACACCCGAAAGGCCCGTCGCGACGGCCCCGCGCCCCCCTCGTGAGACGTTCTCGCCAGCACTTTTCTGGGACTCGCCATCGCTTTGCTTCGGCTTCTGAAAATCATGAAACACAGTGCTTTAATTCATGAAAAACAGGTGGAAAAGTGAATCATTTTTATTTTCTAAAATGTGTGCAAATGATATACTCTTGTAAAGGCGTCACTTGATATTCAAATGTCAAATTTTATCCAGTAAAAGTGCAAAAAGCAATTACAATTGAGAATTAGAAACAGTCGGCTGGGGCCAGGGCTGCTGGGTCTGGGGCATGGGGCTGGCTGCAGGGGCGTCGCGTCGGGTGGGCGGGCGGGCGGGGCGCGGGCTGCGTGCGCGGGCTGCTGGGCTGGGCTGCTGGGCTGGCTGGGCTGGGCTGGCTGGCTGGGGCTGGGCTGGGCTGGCTGGGCTGGGGCTGGGCTGGCTGGGGCTGGGCTGGGCTGGGGCTGGGGCTGGCTGGGGCTGGGGCTGGGGCTGGCCTGCGGGCTGGGCTGGCTGGGCTGGGGCTGGGCGCGGCTGGCTGGCTGGCGGCTGGGCTGGGCTGGGGCTGGGCTGGCTGGGCTGGGCTGGCTGGTCTGCGGGCTGGGCTGGGGCTGGGGCTGGGCTGGGGCTGGCTGGGGCTGGCTGGGCTGGCTGGCTGGGGCTGGGCTGGGCTGCTGGCGGGCTGGCTGGCGGCTGGGGCTGGGGCTGGGCTGGGCTGCGGCTGGGGCTGGCTGGCTGGGCTGGGCTGGCTGGGCGGGCCTGGGCTGGCTGGGCTGGGCTGGGCTGGGCTGGCTGGCTGCTGGGGCTGGGCTGGGGCTGGCTGGCTGGCTCGGGCTGGCTGGCTGGCTGGGCTGGCTGGGGCTGGGGCTGGGCTTGGGCTGGGGGCTGGGCTGGGCTTGGCTGGGCTGGGCTGGCTGGGCGGGCGGCTGGGCGCTGGGGCTGCTGGCTGGGGGCTGGGCTGGCTGGCTGGGCTGTGGCTGGCTGGGCTGGCTGGGCTGAGCTGGGCTGGGCTGGCGGGCTGAGCGAGCGAGGTGAGGCCCGTGGATCCCAGGTGCGAACACGCCCGCGACACTCCGCCTTCCCGTCCCCCATTTGTAGCGGAATCCCGCATTCTACAGAGGAGTTGTGGCCTCCTCAACGGCCGTGCGACAGAATTGCGCCACGTGACTCCCACACACCTATCACACCTTTTGTTTGGTTTCTCCCTTTCAGTTGCCCTAGAGAAGCGGGTACATTAGCTGCAGCCGTTTAGGCTATATCTTAAATACACTATTTACAATCTAGCTTACTAATACAATTGCCGCTTTTGGCCTATTCTAGTTTTTAAAAATTATTTGTGATATATAACGTTCTTAAAATTGATCGAATTTTCTTCAATTTTTTAAAACGTTCACTCTCTCATTTATTCTTAAACTATATTTACAAATGACCTCACGGCATTTTGCGTCTTTCTCGGTCGTACCGCTAGATGTGGCATGATCGCCAGCACTGCTCGATACATAAAAATGACAGTTCGACGCGCTGTTGCCGCACATTACCACACACATGGCACCACCTGTGTAGCAGATAAATGAAACCTCAGAACATTTCACATTCACAGACAGGCGATGCCTTGATATCATTTTCATATCCTTCGCCACAGCCGAACCTTATCACTTCGTGCGAGTCAGATGAGCGGCAACACCGAACCCTGGCTGTGGGAAAGTAAACAAATCCTCGCAAGCTGATTGCTTCGGAGCAGGTCACATGACGTACCTCAGCACGAGGCGAGAGAACTGTCAGAGCCGCTTATACGCTGCCGGTTCTGTAGTCGGTCAGCCTGTATGTCTTAATGCATGTTTCCGCATTCCTTTTGTATTTATGTACATTTGGCGTATAGCATCTGAAACCAATTATAAGCTGTCTCTGGCTCAAATTCGAGGTAAGCTCATGCATTTTCAAGTATCGTGAGTCAGAGAACTAATAGCAGAGAGTACACACCAAATAATATTTTACATTTAAAATACAGTACTTTACAGCGTCGCTACCAGGCAGCACACTCTAGGCAATCGCGCTTAAAAGAAAGACTTTCCAAGAAACAAAAAATTCGGAAGACGACGACGTTCGCTTGCATTGTTAAAAAACGAGAAGGGCATCACTAATGCCCAGTTGATGTGAACGACGCGGAGACTTTATAAAAAAGAATCAACGTCAAGGTAGCGGAAACACATAGATTGTGAAATATCAGTGTTGGCAAATATTGCTTGTGCTCTCAAACTTGTCAGAGTTTTATAAAATTGCGAAAGTTAAAAAAGTATGGACCCACTCCTATAATTGCTTTACTGAAGATAGATAATTTACTTCCTCGCATATTACGTACTTAATTAGTAAACTAGTGGTGCTACAGAATGGCACACACTCTAGTATTCGTTTTCTATTTTCTTTGGTCTGGGCTAGCTATTCGAACTGCCACTGCCATATATCGCCGCCCAAAGTACATTTTTAGAAAATGTTCTCAATTTTTCGATTTTCAAATAGTAGAAACGAAATAGTACTCGAGGAATATTAAAGAAGAGTAAAACCTAGTCCTAAAAAGTACTTTCCATTGAAAAAATTGGAGCTGTTTTTAACAAAATGGCGTTTCAGCGTTTCTGTAATGGGAAATTCAAGATCATTTTCACAGAAAATTTTTGAGTTCTCAAAAAACTTCATTAAAAGTCATTCGAGGCACTTTAACTCACAAATACAATAGTGTTTACAAATCGCTAGAATTTGCATATTAACAGCGTAAGTGATATTTAAAAATAAATACATTGGTATAAGTTTTGAAAAAACCAAAGGAATACTCAAAATGAACTTTATGATATCAAACAGTGGAATTAGCATTATCCATTGGAAAAGTTTAAAGAACAAATTTGGAGCCTTTTTTTAGGAAAATTGCGTTTGAGTGTTGGGTGGTGGAATTTTGAACACATTATCACTAAAAACTGTCGAGTTTTCGAGAAACTTTATATAGCATTAATATAATGTGAATAAATCGCAATTAATGTAAATATTAGTCCAGTGGGTAGTAAAAAAAATATTTTTGTAATTTTTTAAAAAAACAAAAGAATAGAACAATACGTCATTTATGCCATCTCATTGTGTACATTTAGCACTATCCCTACCAAACGTTTAAAGAAAAAAATTGAAGCGGTTTTCGAGAAAATCTTGTTTTTTTAATATTGCAATCGATATTACGCAAAAACTACTAAAATTTTCAAAATATGTAACGACCTTATTAGAAGAACTATAATTATAGAGAAAAAATTCTTGAAGGGAAAAATCTCTATCTTCCATTTAGTTGTAGGAAAACGCCGAAAAAAATATCACTTTTGAAATTTTCGAAAATTCAGTTAAATGAGAAAAACCGACCGATGTCATCTTTATAAGTGTACTATACGTGTAACAGGTATAGTACACTTGATATAAGTGTACACAGGTAGTCTATGTTGACTTGCAAAAAGTGTACGACAGTGTCCCCCTTTCAAAATTGTGGATGGCCGTGGAAAATCAAGATATTAATAACATGCATATTAAGGCCATTACAGAGTTATATTTGGACAATATCGCATATGTCAAGTTAGGAAATAGCATATCAAAAGAAATAAATTATAATTTATTTATATTTTATATACTCCTTTTATATACCCCTATATTTTATACACCATACCCCTATATAATAGTATATTAAATACATATATAATATTATTATATCTATTTATATAAATATATATAAATACATGTAAATACAGGGGTGTTGCATTGCACAAACCTTCTTCACAAAATATCAAGGAGAAGCTCTAAAAAATAGGAAGAAAAAAATGTGAAAGGATAGGAACAAAATTAAATGACGATATGTTAATATTCACTAAATTTTGCAAATGATCAAGTGATATTCGCAGAGGATGAAGACGAGGCCCATTATGTGTTGAAGAAATTTAATGAGGAATATGGAAATTGGTACTTGAAAATCAATTTCAAAAAGACAGAGTGCGTGGTGGTATGAGGGACAGGAAATTATATAGTAGTGGAATATGGCTCGGTTGTTAAGTGTTGTCAAACGTATAAATATTTAGGAACTGTTTTAACAGACCAAGAAGGCAATGAAGAGGAAATTAATCATCGCATTCAGCCATTACATTCATTTGTATGGAATAAAAAAATTGCTAATAAAGTGAAAATTAGAATTTATAAAGCAATTGTGGAAATCTTATCACTGTTTGATGCTGAGTAATGGAATATCTCAAAAAACGTGAAAAGTTAAAGGCTATGGAAATGGAGTTTGGAGACTCAGCTGAAGTGGAACGTAACGGACGTAATGGAACTACATGCTGGTCCCCAGTGAAAGTGAGAGAGAGAGTGAGAGTAAGAAAAAGGACGAAGAGAGTGAAAGTGAGAGTGCAGAGAAGGAGAGAGATAAGCAGGAGAGAGAAGGGATAAGGAGAAGAGGAGATAGAGAGAGAGGAGATAGAAGAGAGGCAGGAGAAGAGAGAGAAAGATAGAGAGTGAGTGAGAGAGGAGAGAGAGGGAGAGGAGAGACAGAGGAGAGAGAGGAGAGAAGAGGACAGAGAAAGGAGGAGAGAGAGCAAGAGAGAGTGAGATGAGAGAGAGAGAGGAAGAGAGTGAAAGTGAGAGTGAAGGAAGAGGAGAGAAGAGAAGAAAGAAGAGGAAGAGAGAAAGAAGAGGAGAGAGAGAGAGAGAGAGAGAGAGAGAGAGGAGAAGAGAGAGAGAGGAGAGAGAGAGCAGAGAGAGAGAGAGAGAGAGGGAGAGAGAAGAGAGGAAGAGAGAGAGGCAGGAAGAGAGGACGGGCCAGAAGAGGAGAAGAGAAGAAGAGAAGAAAGAGGAAAATAGAAGAAAAGAGACAAGAGAAGCATCAATGTGCAATTCGGATGTAATGGATAGAATAGAATGGACGATTTTTAAAAAAATATTATTTTTTGGGGGGTATCAGAAGACCCACAATATCTTTCCATTGAAATCTCGAAATCAATTTTATGCACCCTTACGTAACTTCCTCTATAATACGTTTATTACCCCGTACATA